AACCTAATTTTCCCTCCATCACTCTCTAATTTTTGACTTAAAATGTTAAATTCAAGGTAAGACAAATTAAAAGACAAAACCTCGTGCATCTAGTCATTCTTGAAAATATTCACAAAAACATTTCGAACCTTTTTTTTTGTTTTACCCAGATTGCGATAGAAAAAAACAACAAAAAAACAACAAAAAAAAACCCCAAAATGCTGAGTTCAGTAGGTTTCCCTTCATGAGAATTGCACATCATCGTTATAAAATATGAACCTTCCTATTTACAGCTATCGAAAGCCAATACTGGTACCTGTAACTGCCTGTTAAGAGGTGTTTGGAGAGCAGGTACCAATGGTTAGGAGCGACATGTTCTACAGCCTAATTTAAACAATATAAAAGCCAATAAATGTAAGGCCACTTTTAGCTTTTCCGATCAAGCCTCGTCAAAGAAAACATGATTTCACTCCACGAGCAAATCGATTAACAATTCACCAGAAGCCCAATGACTGGCCATAAACAAGAAAATAAATTACCTAGCTCGTAACCTTGGCTGAACGCAATCAAAAATAAGGTATCTGCACTTCCAAGTGTCCCTGCCGATGTGACTTAGGTTGCCGGCAAAGTACAAAATGGTCTGGTTAATCAAAGCTGCCCAGTTCTCTAAGACTTGTTTGAAAGATAACGGGAAAGTTGAAGAGCGTTTGCATTCATTGGTTGGTTTAATGGATTCTGTTTGACATTTTTAACCTTCTGATGTCTGTTACCACCCAGCTTGACCTGAGCAGTCGGTAGATTCTAGATATTCCGATGATGACACGAGATATTGTCTGGGGTTTGACTTTTGGTGGGAGTAAGGATTACATTACATTCGAGTAACGTATCAGTCAGAGTATCTGATGGTTTGGAGTGAAATGAAGAGCATAGGGCCGAACAATCCTAAAATAGAAGAATAAAAGGAAACCAGATCGTACAAACTCATAGATCTCAAAATCATAAATATGCCAAACGTTAATTCCTGAGAAATTGATGAAAATGTTGAAAAATACCCTATCTCGATGTGAAGGAAAGTGATAAACATTCCTGGATTTGTTTCTTAAACCTCATCGGCACCAAATTGTAATGGGTTCGTCACTGGCCCATGCCGCATCCCTCCACCAAGTTTAGTGCAAATTGGTTCACTACTTTTTGCGTAATCCTGCTGACAAACAAACCAACAAACCAACCAATCAACCAACCAACCGAAATGGGTGAAAACATAACCTCCTTGGGGAAGGTAATTATGCGTTAGTTCTTATTTGTTTGAATATCAAGCCTAATAGAGACACATCATATCAACCTTTATTAGTTCTGATTAAATATATGTTAAAGCACCGATGGCAATATCCAAAATATAACCAAGCCTTAAAAGTAAAGCAATGGCGATACACGTTTTATTTAAATACTGTACAAAAAACCCTGTAACAAAGCACCATCAGAGCCTGATGTACTAAACACGACTGTTGAGGAAAGTGAAATATTAGCCAAGTTGCTCGGAGTGTGAATGCAGTATCACGAAGCCTTAAACAAGGCTGCATGCGTCTCATAACCACTGACATCTCTCCAAGTTTTCAGTTCATTTGCTGAGAGATTTGAGGATAAACTCTATTATTCTTTGCTGTTAAACATGTTTTAAAATAGAGTTAAAGTGTCTTTATCGGTAAATATCAGTAATTACATTTTCTTAAAACATGTGAAAGTATATTTAAAAAAAGAAAAGAAAAGAAAAGCCAGATCAACTGTGATTAAAGTCACATGATGTAAGAAAAAGGGCTTTTCAGAGGAAATGAGCAACTTCATCTCCCAAATGGCAGTTCTCCTTGTTAGAGGACCATCTTGGTACTGAGTTAAAGTGGATAACTCATATAATCCACTGAAGAATATATCATAATGTTCCCCTGTGTATCTGAAACACGTTAAGCCCAGGTCAAAAAAACAGAATTCAGAATTAACTATATACACATACAGAAAAACAGTGATGGGTGAAGCTGCCATTGAGTCTGAATTCTCTCTGATACTTTTCCAGTTAAAGTAAGATGCAGAAGTTTCATGGTTACGTTTCTGATATGAACACGTCCGCAATACTGGAAAGTAACTGTAACCCCAGGTGAATGGTACTTGTACTTTGAGTATTTCCATGTTCTGCTACTTTGAATTTTTATATTTTTATATTTTATATTTTACGTAAAAAAAAATATATGATACACTTAAAAAATACAGTGTTGTTAAAGATTTTCCCAGTGGTTTGCAACCTTTTCTGGCTTTTGACCTTTTATTTGAAGCATCAAATTGACTTTGGCTCCTTGTCATGTTTCAGGTGTCACCCACTTTCACTATAATAAAATATTAGAGGTAGAAAGATTTTTAAAAAATTATCCAACATTTCACATAAATGCAAAGATTAGGGAAAAGAAGTCTTAACGTTTCTTTCTTTTCTCTCCCATTAATCATCCAATGGCCCCTCAGATTTATCTCGTGGCCCTTTTGGGGGGGGTCTGACCCCTATGTTGGGAACCATTGAACTAAACTGTAAGTGCATATAGAGGAATTAAAACTAGCTCCACCTCATTATCACTCTCATGTGCCTTTTTTTTCCCCACAGAACAGAACTTTATGTACATTTTTCTGATTATACTGTTGTACTTTTACTTATTTAACATTTTGAATGACTTTTATTCTTAATGGAGTATTTTTATACTATTTGTACTTCAGTAAAGGATATGGTTTCTTACTCCACCACTGCTGGCAAACTAAAAACTACCCGTCGTGCCTGTAGACATTTAACCTAGTGGCGTCTTATTTAATGTTCTTGAATGAATAGATTGAACTCCCGCCCTAAAATGTCTTGTTAAGTCGATAACGTGACACTTTAACGTCAATGCCGCTGTTTAAAGAACTGTTGGTTTTTTTTTTTTGTTTGTTTTTTTAAAGAATACATCCAGATTAAAGAAACAGCAAATCCAAAACCCAGATCAGTGTAGAAAGGCAGCTTCACCCCTCACATACAAATACACAGTTATTGGTAGAGAAAACTCCACGGAATAATTAGAAACAATAAATAAGTTAAGAAACATCCCTTCACTGAGATTTAGCAGAATACTGAGAGGTGTACTCTGAATGTGTGTGTGTGTGCGTGTGTGTGTGTATGTGTGTGTGTGTGTATGTGTGTAACACAGTGTAACACAGTTTAGTTAGTAGCACGTCAAACAATAATTCTTTGTACTTCACAATAAAACACAGGAATGAGGGAAAAACATGAAAACAATACACACAAAAAAAAAAAGAAAAAAGAAAAGGAAATCTCTTTGTGGACATTCTCCGTCTGTTTGCTTACGAACCTCAAGGCATCACTTCAAACTCCCTAGAGATTTATTTGCTCCTGCTGTTTATATTACTGCACAGGGAGTAATGGAGGACAGGTAGCTTGTTTTTAAAAACATTTCTTTAGCGTTTCCGTCGTGGAGTAACTGATATCTGGAGCTCAGGTGGCTGATTTGAGAATAAAAACTAATAAACAATAGAAAATACACTGACCTATAGTGTTTTTTTTTTGGCGTTTGTATTAAGGTGTTGGACCTTAATTTACCTCAGTAACAGAAACAGAGATACATTGGAGATTATACAATATGTGGCCAAAAGTATGTGGACATTTGGTTTAGGGCTGTTGTGTGTGGTTTGGGCTTGTCTCCTTTCATTCCAGTGACGGGATATGGTAACGTTACTGCATATAATTATATTTTAGACAATGCAAATAGTTTTGGGGATGATTATATAAGCACGAAGCAGCTCTATGAAGAAATAGTTTTCACAGTCTGGGTGTGGAAGAACTTGATTGGCCTGCTCAAAGCTGTGACCTCAAACGCACCAAACACCTTTGGGGATGTCTAACTAGCACGTATTGGTGCAATGCTGAGGCGTCCACATATTTGTGGCCACATAGTGTATATCAGCATGCTCTGAAAGCATTGTAAATGATCAGTTCCCTCAAAAAAAAAAAACATTAAAGCTTTACCTGTTTTGCACCTGCTCATTCACTAAGCTCCACAACACAGGCAGAGGAATATCAGCAGTGCACCTGTGGTAACTTTTTTTTTTTTTAAAGCTCAATTTGAACATTAAGCTGAACCCCCCCCCCCCAAAAAAAAACTTGGTAAAAAAAAAACAAAAAAAAAAAACAACTAATTTCTCTGTTATTTTGCAAAATAACAAAAATAATTTCAGGGCAAAGTGGTTTCTCAGCTTTCACAGTTGTCAACAACCATGAGGGCCGTGTGCATGAGTTTTCAATCAGGGGTTGAAGATGTAAAAACTATGAGAAACCTCTGACCTCCTTCAGGAGCTTGTTAAAGTAACTGACGACAGAAAGTTTATCTGTTAGAGTAAATACTGGCCAGAAACACACCGTCATAAGAAAACGCACTGGGGTTTGACTGACACGTGGGTCAGTCTTGCAGTCATACGTTTAGCTAACTCAGGTTGGTCATCAGCTGCTTTTTTAGCTTCAGATGTTTTGGGAACATTGCACCAGTTTATCACATGTACAGACAGATCGTTTGCATGTTGTGTGTTAAGCTCCGTTAGCATGACGAGCTAAATGTTGCTTCACAGGCAAGAAATCTGAAGATCTGAACTACTGAGCATGAAAAGAGTCAAATCTTTACTTGGTTAATTCCAAATATCAGCAGCTTTAGTGTAGAAATGTGAAACTTGATCATCAGTCAAACCCCAGTGATCAACTCCCTCCACGTACTGTATGTGAAAATAATAACAGACTGCTGGTAGTTAAACTACAGCTCGGGACCGTCAGTGCTCTTCCCTCATGACGGGAAAGACAGGAAAGAGATTTCATGAGTCTGGGGTCTGAGGCTGATTTTTTCTTTTTTTTGTCCTGGGGGATGAAACCACACACACACACACACACACACACACACACACACACACACACACACACACACACACACACACACACACACTCTCTCTCTCTCTCTCTGCAGTCATCCCCCGTCTCGGCCTTCATCCTCCTTCCTCTTCATCTCTCAGTTCCAAGGATAAGACATCATAGTTAGGCAGAAAAATTCATTCTCACACATGAACACACACACACACGCACACGCACACGCACACAAAACCTTCATCGCCATCCTTTCCTCGTCACCCCCTCTTGCTCTCACAGGTCAAAGGTCAGACGTCGTAGTTGGGCAGGGCGGAGTAGGTGATGCCGCCGACAGACGGAGGGTTGGAGTGGAGAGGAAGAAGCCAGCAGAAAACTGAACCTGCGGAGACAAACAAAACAATAAAAAAAAACAGCTTAGTATTTTAGTGCTTAAAAAAGATTACGCAATTCCTCAAAGAACTAATCAATAGTTTAATGAAAGTCAACGATTGTTTCGACGGAGCCGACCTCTTCCGAAGACCTCCCGCAGCAGAGCGAGCTTGGGCTTGCGGGTGTGCGACGGGTGGTGAGGCAGCTGCGAGGAGGATGAAGAGCCTTTGTCCTTGATCATCAGCCTGTTCCTCATCTGCTCTATGGGAGTCTCGTCTGTGATTATGGAGACCAGCTGGAGAGAAGAGGTCAATCGAGTCATCACATTTAGGAAATCTGTGTGTACGTTGTTGTAACTCATAAGCATCATTCTCACTGTCCATGACTGATGTTTGTCTGTGCATGATTTCATTATTGTTTTTACTGTTTTATTTATAAGTTACAATGATGAGTTTTAACCGGCCTGTGAAGTTCCACATGTGTGGACAATAAAGATCATTATTATTATTAATTACAGACTTTCCTTGAAGTCCTTACAAACTGTTGCACATCTTCATTTATAGATGTTCAGTATTTCAGGAGTTAAATGTGATAATAACGTGTAACTGGTTTCATTTACTCTGTTGGATCATCTGCTTTTCCTCAACTTCCCTCATCTACCTCCACCTCAGTGCGAGGTCCTACATTTCCCAGAAGACATTTCAATGACTCCCAGCATTCAGCTGATGGTTAAACTATGCGTTGTCCTGGTAACGTCAGCTCGATGTTGAAACACTTAAAAACTGTACTGAGATAAAAGCAGTGTGTGTGTGTGTGTGTACCTGATCGTAGAAGATAACCATGACAAATACACCGAACAACACCGACTCCACCAGGAGGACAATGTAATGAGCACTGAGAGAGAGAGAGAGAGAGAGAGTAACACAGTAGAAATAATAGAAACAGTCTCTATCTAAAAGAGACCCGTCACTGTGGCGCTCACACTATCAGGTGTTTGCTGGGCGTCTCCTCTCCCTCCTTCTCTACGTCGCCTTCTCCCTCGTTCCTGATCCGCCACACCCAGGCCGACACCACCAGCACCATGGAGTACAGACAGGCCATGCCTGCACACAGAGACACAGCGTTACCTTCAGGTGTAGCTGATGTAGCTGATGTAGCAGTGGCCTCTTACTTCTACAGCAGCTCATCAACCGCGAGTCCACTCACCGGTGTAGAAGAGAAACTGGATGAAATACTTCTGGTTTAACTCCCCGACACAGTTGTTGATCCTGGAGAGATGGGAAGAAGAAGAAGAAGAAGAAGAGAGGAGTCTGAGAGACGACGGGGAGATGAAAGGAGAAAAGGGAGGGGAAGGGGGGTGTAGTGTAGTAAGAGGCTGTTTGGATGGTTGTTTCCTCACCATGGACAGTGGTGGTCCATACGGCGTATACACCTCTGACAGACGCGGCAGTGGTGCGCTCTGGGAGGTCTGTAGGTTTCACAGCGGTTGCACACCGTCCAGCCCTCGCAGCCCTGAGAACGTCACGCAAACACAGACTACAACATCAGACGGACGACACATCATACATATCAAGTTCTGCGTCCTATTCTCCGCAACATCTAATGGAAGTTTGTCTCAGAGTAGAGCGCAGTGGGACGTCACTCCCATCACTGGCTCGAAAACACTTTACAGACGTGTGTCATTAAGCTCATGAGTTCATAATAACAAGCCTCAGAGCAGACGTAAGTGCAGCTGTTCAGACGTAAACACAGAGGCTCCCTGATACTCCCTCTATATCATTAACTGTTATTCAACGCTGTGTGCCCACGTTACTGTTGAACTCATGACAATAATTAGATTAAAACTTTTCTCTGAGCACCATTGTTCCTCACATGGAGTTTTGTGCTGTGAAATGACACAAAAAGCCAAATGAAAAGTTATTTTAAATGTTTAACACTATAGGGAAATTAAACTTTAATCTGTAATGTAATGAGTAAGAAAAAGGTTTCACAACAGAAAACTACAAAAAGGATTTTAACTCTGTGACTCACCCGCTCATTCATCCGAGACGACTGCGAGCGAAGGTCTGAGAAGTCTATGGCTGTGTCAGGAAGAGGCACCATACCTGCACAACAACAACAACAACAACACACACACACACACACACACACACACACACACACACACACACACACACACACACACGCGTCAAATACAAGGGTTAAAGTGTTTCCCTGATTTCCCTCTTGGCTTCAATCAAATCAATGAATGAATAATAAAGATAAACCTTTAACTATTTACTGACCAGGATCTGAGAAGACAGCTTTGGAGTGGCAGGCCAGCAGCAGCAGCAGAATCAGGTTGAAGACTGATCCATGTAGAGTACACCACACACTGTCAGATGTAATACACAAAACTGCAATGTTACTACCCCAAAAAAACATAATTTCATCCTGTGCAGTGGTTTTATTTAGTCTTCTGTTACATGTAGGATTGCAGCAAATGATATTTTCATTATCGATTAATCTGCCGATGACTTTTTCTATTAATTTATTAATCTATTAATCTATTAACTGTTTGGCCGACAAAACTAACACCAAAATGTGAAAATATGAAATATTTGAACTTTTTTGCTCAAAAATGATCCAAACAATTAACTGACTCTCAAAATAGTTGCAGATTAATCTTCTGTCGATCAAGTAAATCTTAAATACAAACATTCACATCAAATATTTCTTCTTTTCTGGTTATCCTAAAAAAGGAAATCTGCAATTCATCCATATTTGAACTTAATAAATGTAGGGCTGCAACTAACTTTTTTTTTTTTGAAAACATGGAACCAGTAACTGTTTCACAAAAAATTATTGAATTGATTATTGAATTAACAAAGGTTTGGCTTTGAGGGTAAAAACAGTACAAACAGTACTTAAAAACAACCAGAAATATACAAATGAAATGTACAATAAGTCATTTATAAGAACTATAGTCTGTCTTTGGTGTCACCTGCATTTAATTTGTACAACTATCAGTGACTAAATAGATGTTAGTAAGACTGCTGCCCTCTTCCAAACCACCATGTTTAATCTGTGGGGAAAGACCCGGGAGATTAGGAGATACTTCCTCAGATAAAGTTAAAATTTCATATGAAGAAGAGTTTCGTGTTGTTTTGGATATACGCCGAATGAAATGGCGGCTTTCGTTGATTTTAAACACGTTGTGGTCCGACTTTTAGATGATAAGACGGTTTGGAGATAAGCGAAGAAAAGTTAAATTACACCAATTCTGAACCAGATCTCAGTCAAAGCGAAAAAGTACTAAGGAAAACCAACTGACAGCTGACTGTTTTGGTGCAAATCAAACGCCTCAGCTCGTAAACAAACGAAAACCCACGTTATCTGGAGTCTTCTCAACACGAAACCGTTACGAACACCTACCTGAATAAATGTAAACGCAAGTTACTGTCAGAAAAACAAGATTTGTATCGCAGCACAGAAAGAAACGTGAGGATGTTGTCATATCTGTCTGCTGTCAAATGACTGGAGACAGCACAGAGAGGAAGACGCCATGTTGGCTTTTTTAACGGTTTAAACGACATAAAAAGACAAAGTACCGACCTGCCCGAGTAGGTGGGGACGAGGACATACTGTATGACCACGTAGTCCGCGTATAATACGCTAAAATAAGTTAAAATCAGACAGATAACGCCGCAGGGGTCTCGCCTACAGCGCAGATACGCCATCTTTTGCCGGGCTCCGCCCCCCTGTCCCCTCGCTTCCGTGTGACGTCAGATCCAAACCTGACGTTTCTTTCCAGGACTGTAGGAAATTTTAAAGGGACAGTACACGCCAGTCAGATGATTATTATTTTTTAATCTATTCTGTCTTACTTTGTTATTTTATTCATTTTTTGATTTTGAATTATTTGTTTTTAATTTAGTCATAAAAATCACCTGACTGCTAGTGACCAGTTATTATTAAAACCCCACAATGTTTTAAATAAACAGTAATGAACTACAAGCTGTATGTGAAGGCAATATGAACTTTGAATTTGTTTTATTGATTTCTAACATTTTTTACATTGTTTTTGTTTTTCAATACTTTACACTGTCACAGATAGATTGATAGCTAGTTCCACCCCTGGGCGGCGTATGCCCAGACAGTAGGCTAACTGCCGGCGGCGGCTAGCTCCATGCCTGAAGAGAAAAATGAGAAAGGGATGAAGACTGTAAACTGTAGTGAAAGCAGTGAAATAAGTTTTAATGGGAGTAAAAGAGTGTAAGTGAAATACACTGAGTAGGCCTGAAGACTGAGCTGTGTTGCTTCATGAATGCCCTGAAATGTGCATGAAAGTCTTATCAGCTGATCTGAATCAGGAAAGAATGGGGCAGTTGGAAAGTGCCCCTCCCATTTTGAGGCATGTAGGTCAAATTCTGTGAGTCACTGACCTTTGGCAGTCACAGTGTGTGAAAGGAGACAAATTTGCCTACAATCTGTGAAAAATGACGTGTGGAGTGAAATTTGTGGCTGTGAGGACGAGTTAAAGAGAAGTGTTATAGACCAGTCGAACAACTTCTCTCCACTCTGTGAACTTTCGGCCATATACACACCAACGTAAAATTATGGAAAGGTCCAGAAATGCACATGAAACTTGACCTGTCACACTGTAAAAACTATGAATGGGACTTATCAACATTTTTAAATTTGAAATGAGTTTCTAATTGAAAGTGTGAATGAATAGAAAGGGTTGAAAAGTGCATGAAAAATTGGAAATCTTTAACATTCCATACATTAGTTTCTATGGGAAAAATCGCTGGTTTGAATGTTGCAGCGTTCAAAGACAATATTTGAAAGGCGACATTCCAGAGCAGGTAGAAGCTGCAGCAAACATTGTGGAAGTCGCTGTAAAAATGAAGAAAATGAACCTCGATGACTCGCACAAACTGTCACCGGTTATCCTCACGGAGAGTGTCCACAGGACATCGCAGCGGCTGTACACGTGCTCTGTCGTCCATGCACCGGCGGGAGCCTCGGACTTGGGCGCCACAGGAGTGAGGGCTACGACAACGGATGGTCCCAGTGGATCAACTTCGCGACACCGTATAGTCAGGACCCACATTACGGAAAAGACCCAACCTGATGTTCCAGAGAGCGCTGCTGTTACACCAGACAGTACGGTCAATATGGAGCCACCAGAGGGAGACAGTGGGTCTGATTCTCCCGCCTCTGACCACCGAGACACAGCCGTGGAAGACAACCCCAGCTTGCTCCGTCAGTTCGTCACCCAGCTGACGGAGAGACTGCTGAAAGAGAGCGACTTCCTGCAGCACCACAGAGAGGAGGAGCTGGCCACCTACACCCAACACCTGGTGGACCAGACAATCCAGGGAAGCACTCAGGATGAAGACTTCTATGTCGACTTTATGGACTTCATGATGGTCTTCACCAATGTTTTTGAAGCCTTGCAGAAGAGGTTCGGTGGGAAATGCCATCAGGAGACGTTGATCATCTTCGGCTGTCCAGACGTAGACGCTGGCATCATCGAATATCTGCAAGCCAACATCAGCGGTCTCTCTGAGGCCTACTCATGTGGGAGGAAAGAGGCCATTGCTATTGTTGGTGGCATTATGATCCTGATCCTCCTCTTCCTCATCTTCTAATCTTGATACAAACTTGAGACAGGAGACACAGCAGACACACCCAAAATCATAATTATTCAAATACAAGATTTAAACCATATTTTTGATGTGTGAACTCCACCTTAAATTAGAGCTGTTAAGGTAGATAAGTGGTGACTCTGACACACACACATTAGGATCCTGCAGTGGAGACACAGTGGTTATTTCATCTCATATTCAGCAAAATCACACACCATAGGTGCAAGACATTAGTTATAATGCTGTAATGATTTATTTAAACACAAACTCACAGTGACATGAATATAACTTATATATAAACATAAAAATACTTAAACTAGACTTAAACTAGAACAGCCAATGTCATATCTTGAACCAGAGCTGTGACTCTTTCTGACGGTAAAGGGCGCCCTCTTAGTCCTGATGGTCTGAACTGAGCTTTTCTGTCCTGGAATTGAAGTTGATTGTATTAATTGTATGATCAATAATTTTATTGGAACGACTTGAGAGGAGACAGAGCTGAAGAGTCACTAACATATGAGATCAAAGAAGGAAAATCTACAGTCTCGAAGGCAACGTCAGAAACGTCTCACATTTAGAGTAAGAAAAACTTTATGAGCTGCGGTCATGTGTTTTTGTCACAAGATGGCGCCAGAGTCCACTGGGAGCCTTGTTGGGTCTCCATGTAGAAGACCTGAGTCCAGCAGGAAACAGAGAGCAGCTGTTCTTTGTGTCCTTCACTCTTCAAACTCAACACAGACTGTGTAGAAAGAGTTGATGAGACTCAGGACCAGACTGACTGAAGCTCGTTTGGTACGAAAGAGTTCAACGTCAAAAATGACAACCGTTATAAAAGGCTGTAAACTGGACAGAGATCAACTGCAAGTAAAACAAGGGTGTCTTTAAATGTCTTAAACAGTCTTTATATCCATGGCAACAATTCAACAAACCATCAGGAAGTTCAGTTAAATTAGTCAGAGCTGTGAAATCAGTGAAATCCTGCAGCAGATAAACAATAACAACAGAAGTGATTTAAATGTAAAATTCATTTAATTTTTTTTTTTAAGTTTACAAATCATTCAGGAATTGTTGATTCAACAAATTATTTTCATTCATTAATACAGAAATACTATTTCAGAGAGTGAGACAAGAGAAGTTCAATGATACTGAAACATACATGAAGAAAACACGAGGTAAAACAGGAAAGTGTCTGATGGTCTAAATGAGCACAAAGAGCTCCCTCTAGTGACCGTGCTCATTAACAACAGTGTTAACTCAGCTTTTCTCTGGAGATTACAGCCAATGAAAAAGTGACAATAACAGGCAGCAAATAACAACAAGCTGTAACAGAAATAAAAACAGTGACTGTACATTAGAGTTTCATGTTTAGAAAAAACATGACATTAAAGCTTTGTTCAAAGTTAAATCTCTGTGTAAATTATAGACACAGTCAGAATCAAAAATACAGTTTTACAGTTTTCAGGCAGTAAATGGAAGAACATCAACATCAACACAAACAGTGGCATCACTTCCTGTGAGCTGCCACAGTTTCATACCATCAGGTCAAGTGCATGATGGGTAAGTCAGTAAAAGTAAACAAGCTTCTCAGCATTATTTCATGAAGTGAACACAGTGCACGTTTCACATCTGTCTGACACAGTTTAACAAGGTGTCCTTTCAAAATAAGACTAGGTATAGATCTAGTGTATGACTGGACTGTGTATTGTTTCCACTGTAAAAGACGTAATAGAAACTGTTCCCACCAAATCATTTAGAAAGAGCCAATGGGAAAAGTCCAACACTGGACCGACCAATGGTGTAACTTCATCACTCAGTCAGTCAGTCACAGACTTTACTGACCACTTTATTATTGGCTGGACCACATACCACTGTTGTGGTCCAGCCAATGATGGATGACAGTGTCCTGTGGCTCTTATAGTCACTTACTGAAGAAACTAAAGGGCAAAACAGGGTTTTCAGTGACTGTGGTCCAAAGTTGAATTCTGACACTTTCATTTACTTTGTGGATCAAACTGTTTCTGCTGAGCTGAAACTTTCCTCAGATCCAACACTGAATTCTGGGTAGAAATCTTGTATTCTAGGCAGGAGATGAATTAATAAGAAAACAAAAGAAACAGTCAGAAAAGAGCTGCTGTCAGTCCCAGTCCACAGTAGAGGCTGATCAATCCTGTGTTTGGTTCTCCAGGTTCTGTCTCAGGTTCAGTCTCAGGTTCAGGTCGATCCCTCGCTGCTGCAAAGAGACCAAACAAATCTGTGTTGTTCATGTCAAGAAAAAACATTTCACTAATAAACAAAACAAAATAACAGCAACAGAATAAAGTGTAAAATATTTCCCAGATTTCAGTGGAAGCAGTTTAAATGAATCTGTGAAGAAACTTCTACTGGATCGACTCACCAGAGACGTTGAGTCGACATTTACCAGAGCTCCTCCCATCAGAGGTGAGGACCGTACACAGGTACAGTCCTGAGTCCTCAGTCCTCAGTCTGGACACATGAAGTCTGATTCGTCCTTCTCTGAGGACGTCTTTGTCACACTGGACTCGTCCTGAAAACTGTTCATCCTGAGACTCTGGGGACTCAACACCCTCACGTAGCTGATACAGGACTGAGTCTCTGAGATCAGTGATCAGTTCACAGAAGATAATAAGGGAGTCAGGTGGAGTGTGAGGTTTGGTTGTGAAGCTCCACTCCAGTGTGATGTTGTGGTTCTCCTCTGCCTGATAGGAGCTCTGTGTCACATTCACTACAAATGTTCCTGTTGAGGAGACAGAGAGGGAAAGTGAGGAGCAGACTAAGTGAGGACTTGTATCAGTTTCTAGATAATAAAGTGAAGGACACAGGTCAGGAGCTGCCGTTGCCATGGCAATGTGAAAATCTGCCCAGAATTTGGCATCTACATGGCTACAAACAATGCTAATGCTAGCTGCTAATGCTAGCATGCTAGCCCCCACCCCACATTCTGTTTGTCCATGTTTTTCATCAATAAAGAATCAATAAAAAAAATGCTAATGCTAGCTGCTAATGCTAGCAAGCAAGCACACATTGTCCATGTTTTTCACCAATAAAGAATATATTGAAAAAATGCT